GCTGCGAGGTGCGGGGCCGGGGCAGAGCGCGGCACCGGGGGTGCACGGGCCCCTCCTCGAGCCCCCCGAGGCTGCCAGGGCCGCGGTCGCCGCGCCCACACCCCAGACGTTTGCCACGTTTGCAGTAGTAGTCGCAGTGTTAGGCGGGAGCCCTGTCCTAAACTCAGGTCGCCTCTSCTCAGGGTTACAAATTATTGCTGTAACTAGCTAAATTCATTTACTGCTGTAAATAAAAAGCAGGCTGGGTTTTGTGCCAGGCTGAGGCTAGGAGCTCTGCGGGAGAAGCTGGATGGTGYTTGATGCTTTGTTGGAATGGGACATTAGATGCTGTGTTTGAACACAATAAAACACCCAGGTATCGGTTATATTGTTTGGGTGCCTGTTAATGCTGCTCTGGTTGTGTATTGCCAACCAAAGGGATTTATCTGCGCTCGTTAGGTCACAACGAGCTGCCCATGAGTCTGGTTTTACTAGGAAATGTGGGAAAGTTGCCGTTTGGGGCTAGAAAATGACTATGATAACGTCTGTATTATATAGCTTTAGCTATATGTTCATGTTTAAAGAATGTGGTTAGTTTTACTAATCAGGATATTAGACATTCAGGAAAATGTCATGCAGAAGAGTGTTGGGTTTTGAGACTTCAAGCAGTTGAGTGGTTTTGGGTGCAAGATGAACAGAGAAATGAGTCCGTTCATCACTTTGGAGTTCTTTCTACCTTGTCCTAGATCTTGCCTTACTGGTCTGCACTTAGTGTAGGAAGGAGATAAAACCTTGTTGCTTTTTGGTATGTAAGCAGACGGAAGGGTTGCACCATGGAATAAAGTTCCATTTTTTACCAATCTTTTCAGATACTGTTAATGGGACTGTGACCTTTCTACCTTTGGAGGAGACCGCTGAAGGAAACTATCAGATAAGAAAGTACAATGTGTATCAAATTCAACTGACACATATAAAAGATGAAGAATGGTAAGTCTGAAAGTGAGAAATCCTTTTTTTTTTTTTTTTTTTTTTTCAATATTGAGTGTGTATATTGACTGTGAATGTGTGTTGTAGAGAAGTTTGAGTAATCTAATATTGAAGAGGCAGCTTAGACCCCTGAGAGAAATCAGATTCTTTGTTTTTTAATAAGCTTCATGTTAGAATTGGAAACTGCTACTTGGAGCCTGCAGTGCTTCAGTCATTAAAATCTGGACATTTGCAGCTTCATCCTGCAGTGCATCTGAGGACATCAGTATGTACATGGGTAGGTTGCATAGCTTTAAAGAGAGCAAAAAGAAAAAAAGAGATTGTGAAATGTGCATAATGATAATTTTTCCTGCTAAATTTACTGACTTGCTGATTTTTATGAAGTATTTACTGTCTCTTGTTAGCTTTTGGATTAGCTTGTTGAATCAGGTTGTTCGTCATATAAAAATCCATAGATTGTTTTTGTGGTAGATCTAGATAGAATAGACTTTCAGATGCAGTGTTTGAATTAGCACATAATGGGCTAACAAAATTCAGGAGAGACTATTCAGTTATTCAAGAGGTTCACTTTTTTATTTCTTTTGTTTTTGTGAATTACATTCTTTATTCCTCAATCTACTCTTACACCTTTGATAATCTGTTTATTTTCCTCTTAAATTTTGTACAGTTTTGTTTTCTATTCAGGTGGTTAAAGTATTAAAACACTGTATTTATACAGCTTGTTTTATTTTTAAAGGTCTATATCTATCGCAGTGTCATCGACAGAACATTGGTTTTCAGATGGAGTTGCCTACCCCAAATTAACATGGCTTGGAAATGAGCTGCTACCCAAACTGGCTAAATGGTCTGTGGAGAAAAAGCACAGTGAGTTTAAAAGCACGCTCTCACTCATTCCTGTGGCAAAATACAGCCAGGTTTATCAAGAACTTAAAGAAAAATATAAAGAGATGGTAAAGGTAAGTTCAGCAATAAAAGGTAATAGTAATATGCTTTTCTGGCATTATTTAGTATTTAGCAAAATTGCATATTTCACTATTTGGAAGAACTGAACTGAAAATCATACATTACATACACTAATAAAAGTAATATTAAAGGAAACTTGGGCTTATGGTGAGATACTAGTTAAGTCCTAGTTAAGTCCTGAGCTCTGCAGTAGTTGTGTACTGTTGAGCATATCATTTTAATTTTTGTCTTASTTCCTCTTTTGCTACAAAAGAGGAATTGTATTTTTTCTTCCTTTTGCATCACCTTGACTTCTCATGATATTGTGGTAGGATGAATTTATGCCCTGAAGATAGGCTTATTAATAGCAATCCTATTAATGCTGCACATAACAAGAGAATGAGCATTTCCCCCTGTGAGAACTGCAGTAAGTAAAAGGATAAATGGATGCTCTATACAGTGAGGCAATTTACTTGAGTTGCACATATGGAGTCATAAATAATTTTCTTGGAAACTTTATTAATTAAATAATACTAGGTATTCTTTATCTCACTACTCTTTTGTGCAAATCAAAAAAACTGATTCTTTGTTTACATTCATYTTGTATTTTTTAAATGAAGTTAAAACGTGAAATTCATGAAATTTAGAGCCGGTTAAAGGATAAGAGTATCCAAATCACTCTGAGCATACTATTCAAATTAGTTCAAGATGGCTTAGAAATTGGTAGTGTTTCCTCTATTTTTTATTTGAAGGTGTGGCCAGAAGTAACAGATCCTGAGAAATTTGTATATGAAGATGTTGCCATTGCTGCTTATCTACTGGTAAGCAACTGCTTTGCGTGAGTAGGAAAAATTAAAACCTTTCTAAACAACATCACTTTCATTGTATTGCTATTACATTCTTTAAAATACAGTGACATGCAGTTATGAATATGCAAAGAAAAAGAAGGGGCAAGGGAAGAGTTTTTTGATTGCCTTTTTTTTTCATTTAAGAGGAGTGGAAAGGCAGAATTTATTACAGTATTTTCAAGTGCAACTTAAATAGTAGAATTTGTGGCTATAACTCAGTTCAAAATGAGTTTAAAACACCCTTGAGAGTACTACCAAATTATAGAGATTTTCATATAGCATATGATTACAAAAAGCAGGCCTCTTGAAATGGAGTAAGTTAAATGTGACAGTAAAATGAAAATCAGTGGAAGTGTTTTTATTGCTGCACTATGCCACAAAAAATAAATGCAGCAAATGAAAATTGAATTCAGAGAGCAAGTGAAACTTCTCTGTGAACATGTTATAAAGATTTGCAGGTCTCTTTCACAGGAGATTGACGACCTAAGTAGACTAACCGTATATTTGAAGTGATTAGGTCCAAAAGCACTGAGACATCAGGGAAATAATAGTGTTCACTTTGAAGATAAGGTATGGTTTTATACCCATTTCTACCACTTATTTGTTAATTGAGTACTAAAAGTATTTTCACCTCTTTGCTTTCGCTGTTRCAATTTCAGGTGAAACTCCATCCTTGGGTGCAGTATGTAAAGGCTAACTCCCACAGATGGGTAAAACACTCCCAGATAGAGCTGCACATGCCTTATAGTCTAAGCAAGTCACAGATGCTAAAGTGCTCAGTTAAGGTGTTAATGTTTTTGAGCATAAATGGCAGAACTCAAGATGCCTGTATAAATTTTTTTTTTTACTTGCAGCTGAGCACCAAAGCTGTTAATGAGATTTATATAGACCATGCTTTTTAAGGTAAATTTGAGAGCATAATTCTAAAATATATGTGKTTTTTTTCATGTATTAGGTTCTGTGGGAAGAAGAGAGAAAGGAAAAGAGGTTATCCAAGAAACAGTCATTTGTAGATCTCGGCTGTGGAAATGGTCTGCTGGTTCACATTCTGAGCAGTGAAGGGGTAAATAACGTATGGGTGTTTTGTAATGGTTATTCAGTATCCTTATTCTGCTCTCCTCTTATCTAGCATACAAATAGTCAAAATTCAGTTAATTCTTATAGTAACATGAACAGGATTTTGTAGCTATGAGGAACACGTTCCAGTCTTGTATCTATTTTTTTTTTTTTTTTATTAGTGCAGTTGGTTGCCCTGAAGGCTATTTATCTTTCTTGGATAAGAAATGAACAGCAAAAAGAAAAAGTAGTGATGTAGTTTTTGCTATGTCTAACAATGATTAAACAAATGAGAAATCTTAAAATAGAGATTCTCTCTCACAAGAGACTTTAAATTAGTCGTGTTTTCTATTTTTTTTTTTGTTTTCTGAAATCTTATTGCCTCTTGAAAAAGTTTTTCCATGGCTTCAGAAACAACCTTGGTATTTGTAACCGGGAAAAGTCCTACCAATGCACTGTTCTCTGGAGATTGAAATCAGAAGTACAGCAAATTCTGTTTTCTTGATGCATAATTTTTGAAACAAGCAGAAAAGAAACAGCAGAAAAGGTCCCTGAGATTCAACAATACCCAGGGAAGTGCTCAGTTGGTCCATTTTCGAAAACCACCTTTTCCACTCTTGGGAAAATCGATTGTCAATTTAGTGAGCTTGTATGAAAATTTCTGGTAAAATGAGTTTTTTAAATAATACTTTTTTTCTTTATTCTGAAATATTTCAGCATTCAGGTAGAGGCATTGATGTGAGGAGAAGAAAAATATGGGACATGTATGGACCGGAAACTCATTTAGAGGTATAATGCAAATGTATGTCAATCTCAACCATTTATAACTTTATTCCTTTGTTCAGTACATCAGGCTGTGTTTATGCAAATATAATCAAACATACCAGGTTCTATAAACCTGATAGTTGTCTGCAACCTTCTATGGACTTGGTATGATGACAGTCATCTCTCCTGTGGTATTGTAAGTTATTTGTAAAGAGAATTGAGAGCGCAGTGCAATATGACGTCCTTACATATTTTCAAATTTCTTACTTTTTTTCAGCTGAAACAAACTATTGTGATTTTTTTTTTCCTGTTTCTATTTTCATGCACATTATGGAACCTTTTTGCTGAAAGGTCAGTATTCAGCAGCATTTTTTGCACTGCTGTACCTCATAAAAGAATTAATGTTCCAAGTTATGAATAGTTTATTCATAAATTAATAACAGAACCACTCTGAAAGTGATTCTGACCTTCTAGAGTGTCCTTCTAGCGTGCTCTGTGCTATTTTGTGACAAAACTGTTGAGCCTGAGAGGAGCCTTTTTTTGCTGTACTGACTTTGTGCTAAGTTGTGGAAATAATAGCCTGCAGAAAACAGGACAGGAAAATGAGTCTGAAAGAGGGATTATATTTCAAATTCCACATTAGTATGTCTGTGACAACAGAAATAGTTCACAGGAATGTTCGCTTTAACTCCAGCTGTTCTTGCTCTGAGAGTCATTAAATGTTTGTGCTGATGAATGGCTGCCCTTTGGAGGTGAGGTGTTCCTGGTTTCTTCTCTAGATTTCAGAAACTTTTCACCCCATTCTCATGGTATTATATTAATTATATGTTATATTAAAGGAATTTTCCTTCTGTAGTTACTCTCCAGTAAATTTGCTTAACAGTATTGAATGCATTGTATGTACTGAGTGCTAGCAACTTTAACCAAACAGCAATCCTCACCTTTGAGAGATGGAGGAAGGGTGGAAAAGTTACTGTTGTGGAACCCTTTGCCACCCTGTATTTTGGTTACAGATAGCCACAGCTGCCAAATTCCTTGTATAGTCTACAAACAAAACTTTTTTAAAAGATTTGAGAAAAGATTCTCTAAAATGTCAAACAACAGTTGTACTTCATCCTCTTTATTAATACAATATATTTCTTGTTTTTTCATATTTTTATATAGTATATACACAAATGTATATTTAAATATATATCTAGACATATAAATTTAGACAGAAGAATATAAAATATTAATATGCTATAATACATCTGATTGCACTTAAAAATATGAAAAAAAATCAATTGGCATATGAGCAAAGCACTGATTTGTGTGGGAGGGAGTTGGGAGGAAAAACATAATTCCTTCTTCTGCTTGCTGTGTAAGACCTTTTTAGCCATAGGAGTGATGGAAGACGAACTCACCACCTCACAGCCTTTTTGCTCTTCTTGGAAGTGAATTCTGCCTTGATCTTTATCTAAAGCATGAGTTGCAAGATAAATATTGCCCTGTGTGACACTTGATGCCAATACCAACAATAAAGATGTTACAGGTGGCATATGCAGCACCACCAAACTGCTGTCAGACATGAGAAATACAGGTTTGGTAATAACAGCTGTCACAATGCAGAACGTGGCATGGATAGCTCAAACTATGTCTAAATTCAGAGTTCAAAAATGAAACTTGTTTAGTCAACCATAAGAAAAATATATTGAACACTTGGGTTAATATGTGTTATCCTGTCAACCACAAATGTTAAACGTGCATGTTTTCTGAGTATGTTTTTATATACTACAAAAATGGACAGATTTTGAAGTGATTGAAGTGGACAGTGACACGCCTTACTAATGCTTAAAATGCCCAAACTAGTGCTTTCTGAAGAGAGAATTTGGGACAGAGTAGAGATATTCTGAGGTTTCTGACATCCTAAACTATTTCTTCTGAATTTCCATACAGACACTGTTTTGCATGTGTGTGAATGTTGAGCCAGAGAAAATACCTAAACATACATTAAATAACAAAACGTACATGAAATGGAAGAACTGTAACTGTTTTCAGCGCCTCACCAAAATATTAGTGGAGACCTTTATTTCAAATATGATTTTTTTCTTTTAAATCTGCCAAATATTTGGAAGAATTGAGATCTTCGTATGCGTTCTTGGAGAAGATTATTATGTAACTTTGTAGTACAAACACCTTCAAATGCGTGGATGTTTTGTGTGTTTTGTTTTGTTTCTCTGAGCTTGGTTCTCTCTTTTTTTTTTTTTCTTTGTTGTTGTCCTATGGGTTTCTTGAGCTAAACAGATTTCTTAGAAACATTTGTGTGAGTGCAAGAAAGACAATTAAACACTTAAAGAACACTTAAAGGCTGCTTTTTTTTTTCTTTTTTAGGAATGTACAATCATGCCAGGTGACAGCCATCTCTTTCCAGATGCTGACTGGTTAATAGGAAACCATTCAGATGAATTAACACCATGGATACCTGTAATTGCAGCTAGGTATGGAAGAAAAAAGGGGTAAAAACTGTGATGCAGCAGCTGTCCTTTCTGTAGAACTTGGTGCCCATGATGCCAGCTGATTACTCGACCAGTTTTTCTTCCTTAATTTGATAAAGAAATGTGGAAGTRATACTTACTGCATTAAAGAATTAAGAATAGGATTGCATTTAGTTTTTGAAATTCCAAAATGGAGTTGTTTTTCATTCTTTAAATTTCAGTCCTGTGAAAAATTACTGCTGTGCTGCCTTTTTTTCTTTTGTTTCTTTTTTTTTTTTTTTTTTAAACTGTTCTATTCATCACAGCTGGTTGCAGCAGTGGGTCCATGCCTGAAGATTGAGTCCCACAAACCAGTCAATTTACCACAGTAAAACCAATCAATTTACCACGTTTCTGTGACAAATAATTTGCAGAACAATATCCTTATACAAATAGAATTACTGAGAGGGGAACGTACTTCTATTATTTCTTGAAGCCTTTTAGCTTATAAAAATTGCCATTATTGCTTGTGTGTGTGTGTGATTTGTTTACTTGTTTGTTTTTAACATTTATGTCCCTTTGTCATTCTTCTTGTAGGTCTTCGTATTCTTGCTGCTACTTTRTGCTCCCATGTTGCTTCTTTGATTTCCATGGAAAGTATAGCCGAAGACAAAGCAAGAAGACTCAGTACAGAGAATACCTAGATTTTGTTTCCCAAGTGGGACTTGTATGCGGCTTTCATGTAGAAGAAGATTGCCTTAGAATTCCTTCAACTAAAAGGGTATTTTTTTAATTTTTTTTAAAAATAGTGCTGCTAGCTATCTAAAGCATATGGATATTTGATCATTATTACTGTTGTATAAGACCAGACTGCAGTCAACAACATTACTTAAGAGAATGTTCTCTGAGGAGATGTTAAAAACACTGACTAGGCGTGGACCTGCTGGAGAGCAGACCCGCAGAGAGGGACCTGGGTGTCATGGTGGACGACAAGTTGACCATGAGGCAGCAGTGTGCCCTGGTGGCCAAGAAGGCCAACGGGATCCTGGGGCGCATTAAGAAAAGCGTCTCTAGCAGGTCGAGGGAAGTGATCATCCGTCTCTACTCAGCCCTGGTGAGGCCACATCTGGAGTACTGCGTCCAGTTCTGGGCTCCCCAGTACAAGAGGGATGTGGAGCTGCTGGAGAGAGTCCAGCGCAGGGCTACCAGGATGATCAGGGGCCTGGAACATCTGCCCTATGARCAAAGGCTGAGAGAGCTGGGTCTGCTCAGCCTGGAGAAGAGGAGGCTGAGGGGGGACCTGATCAGCGTGTATAAATACCTCAAGGGAGGCAGTGAGGAGGAGGGGGGCGGCCTCTTTTCAGTGGTGGGCAGGGATAGGACTAGAGGAAATGGCTTCAAACTGAAGCATCGGAAGTTCCACAGGAACTTAAGGAAGCATTTCTTCACTGTGAGRGTGACARAGCACTGGAACAGGCTGCCCAGAGAGGTTGTGGAGTCTCCTTCTYTGGAGATCTTTAAAASCYGCTTGGATGCAGCCCTGTGCCACGTGCTCTAGGTGACCCTGYGTGWGCAGGGGGGTTGGACTCGATGACCTCTGARGTCCCTTCCAACCTTCGGCATTCTATGATTCTATGACTTGCTAAGGTCAGGAGTATAATTCCAAAGACAACAAAGAGAAGTTTTATGGTTATTTCTTATGCATCATGGGATGAAAAACTTATACACTCACTTTTCACCTTAATTTCCCTACTATCTTTGTTAGTTTCCTTCAGTTTTTGCTGACTTTCTGTGTTCCATGAATTTCAAAATGAAATACTCTTGAAGTAAAAAGAGGTATTCAGACTTTATCTTGGAATTAATCTGAGGTCCAGGAAAAATCTTTTTATTCTCGTTGGAGTGATGGATTACAGTTTGATTACTGGATTTTTTTCCATCATTCCAAAATTTAAAAAACAAAACAAYTCAGACTAAAGAGCATTGAATTCCAATAGACATCTCATTTGGATAGGTTTAGAAACCCAGTAAGTCATGTGCAGGCTGAGCGACTGTGTATAACATTGGACTCCATAAATAATATGATAGAAATAAGGATGTCCCTGTTTCTCCTGCAATAGGTGTGCCTTATAGGGAAAAATAGGACCTATTCACCTGTGCAACATGCTGTGATTGACAAGCAGATAACCCAGTATATTCATAATCGTCAGCCTTGTGCTCTGGACTCACGTGATAGAAGAACTGGGTTTAATCATAACGATGGCTCTGACAATGTGTGCAAGGAAGCGGGCACTGAATCTCCTGGAGATGAGGCTGAGACTACTGGTAGAGTTTGGATGCCCGGATTTCAGCCCCGGGAAAAAGAAGAACAAGTCAGGAATTGCGCTACTCTCCCACGGGATTTTGTAGATGATGTGGTTCTGAGAGTGGCAAACTTGCTGTTAAATGCAACCCAAGAAAAATCATGCGGTAGTACGGACAGTGTGAGTACCAACAGCTGGAATCAAGGAGGTGAGATTGGTTTTCCAATAAAGTACATTGGTTGTTCACTCTAAATTTACAATAACGTAACAATCTCTATCAGCAATAGCAAAAAGCAATGGCAAGCGCTGCTGGAAAGATAGAGGTTTTTTTAACASTGTCTTTTTGCACACTGGGGTGTAATTAAGGCATATGAATTCTGTTTTGTATTATTTGCTTTATATTTTTCCTCTGCACTTAAATGCTAAGCCAAAATCAATACTGTATTTAAAACTAAAAGAAAACTGCTCCCCATTGCCCAAAGTACATCAGTCTGTACCTATTTTGGGTGGATATTAGGCTCATTTTTGGATAGTCACATAATTACTGGCTATAATTCTGTAAGAAGTGCTTTGTAGTGCCATTTGGTCATCGCATGGCTAGGAATGTTCAGATTAGTCCCAAAGAAAAAGAATAGAAGTTCTAGGCTACTGCTATCCTCTATTTTCCTGCCTCCAATTTCATAATTTACTCAGTCTTCTGTCATCTGGTCTAGGAGATACCGAGTCAGAGTCTTTGTACTGCATGCATAAAAACAGTGCTTAGCACTATGAGGACTGTATAGAAAAATGTATGTGCAGAGTGGTAAATTRCTTCTCATTTGGGGAAATTCTGAGACCTGTGGAATGAAAGCTTCCATTTTGCAGACAATATACATATGAAATACCAGGCATGGTACTAGGAGTACAAAGTTGCTGCGGTGCTTGTAGGTAATTCATAGCTTCTGTTTGTAATTTTTAATTGATGCAGAAGTTAAGAGTTAGTGGGAGAAGCAGAGGGTTTTTTAGTGAATGTATGTATTTAATATCTGCATCCTTACTCCTTGCAGAAAGCCTTTCCTTGAAAGAAGTGGCAGAGCACTTAAATAAAGAGACTTTGAAAAGGCTGAAGAGTGAGTATGGAGGCCTGCAGACCCTACTCAAGAATAGTCATCAAGTATTTGAAGGTAAATACTGCAGAGAGAGTGGATCTTTCTATTCTTGTTTTTGTTTGTTTGTTCTCTTTTTTAATAATCAGCTTTATAGCTTTCCTGAGCTTCTCTACTTACCACAGTAGTCGGAGTTTTTTAATTGCTGCATATGCCTTTGTGGGAAACAGGGTGGTGCTTCTGTGCTACTTTATTGCTGCAAGATACTCTGAGTTAAAACACTCCTTTGAATAAGATTAGAAAGGAGCTGTCAGCAAAGGACTGTTCTCTTATACCACTTGTGTCTGGAAAGACAGCTCTGTAGCAGGACAGCCTTTTATTTAAAGTGGTTAATTGGATGCTATAGCCTAACTACAGAGAACTTTCATTTCTCCTGTAATGACTTTTTGGAGAGGGCAGAAGTCAAGACAGAGTAATTTCATTTAAGCATTCCACTGAGCTTTAATGGAGGCTTAATAAGGCCCACAAAATAAATACCAGTAGAGGTTAAAAATAGTCCACTCGAGAGCCTTAGGCTGAGCGAGGCTCAATGTGTTTGTTTAGCCCATGGTAGTCTGGGTGGCCAGCTTTAGAACACAGCAAGGCATGGGTTAATGTTCCAAGCTACACAAGTGTGATACAGAGGATATAGATTTAGGTATAGAATATAGATAGAGAATATGAAAATAGAATATGGCAATTAATCGGTGTGAGAGTCTTCTGTCCTTATTTTAACTGTTTGAGGGTTTTTTCCTTTACATATTTCTTTCTCTCTTTATTTTTTCTTTGTTCTATTCTGCTTTCCTTACACATGTAACTTGCTGACAGATACTCACAGATAAATGTGTATACAGTTTATGTCCTAACATAGCAAATGCATTAAAAAAATCAAGTTAAGAACCAAAAAGAACTGTGCTGTGCTGGATCCCTGTTAATTACCATGGTTCCTACCCATTGACTGTTGCTTGCTATGCAACATTAGACTTGTCAGCTCTTTCGTACAGTCTGTACTTAGGTCAGTTGAACTGTTGTCTTTGTCTTTCTTTCTAGTTAAAGTTGCCAAAGGCTCTTGCTAAACGTTTTTGCTGATCGTATTTTAAATGTGGAATAAGGAAGTTTTGAACAAGGGAAAGATTAATGTTTGTAGAAGGTTCAGGAGTTGCGATCTGAATTTAGAGGATTTTTATTTATATTGCCCTAAATGGCATTTGGGGAAAAAATGGAAAACAAGCCAACTCTCTAAAAAGATGATAGAAGGGAGCTTCAGGCTGTTTGCCATGACAGTAAAACATCTCACAGGGACAATCAATCAATTCTTCTTTAGGCTGTGTCTACATTAGTTCAGTTTGTTGTGCACATCTTCCTATTTCTGTGCAAATGGTGCATTTTGGTTTTGCCCGAGTGATCCATTTGTAGCATATGTATTTGATTCACAGGATGTCACTGTACATTTATTCCAGTGCAATTCCCATGGCTCTCTATTAACAGCTGTATGTTTTTGTTTGTTTTTAAATCCTAGTTCTAAATGGGAGAGTTCACATTCGTGACTGGAGAAAAGAGAAACCAGCAAGGAAAAACATGCCCGAAGTAAAAAGACGCCTCTCAGCCRAAGCATTTAAAACACGTCTCTGTTGGTTTTTCCTTCACCATCCTGATGGGTGTTCTTTGCCATCCGAATCTTGCCCTTATGCTCATGGGACTGAGGAGCTAAGACAGTCTCAGATTATTAAAAAGAAAAAACATATACAATAATAAAATGCTGCACTTTATTTTTAAACATGTGTACGTGGATGGATTTGTGATTGATTAGGACTGCCTAGTGCATGAACACTTGCAGATAAGGTTTTTATTTGATTCATATGTATTTTGTTTTCCAATTTCTTTATAAATTCTGCTGTATTTTTATTGATTTATTTTAGTATTAATTAAGAGTGTGGGAAAGTATATACTTCGAGATTTTTGACTTTTTAAAAACATGGCTTCCCACATGCGTTTGCAATATACTTTGAATAACTAGAATAGTAAAAATTCTTAAAATCACAGGACATGGTTTACCATCATTGATTAGTTCATTTAGATATGATGATGTGTCTATGAGTCCTGCAAATTAACTCAAAGCTTTTCAGGAAGATTTATGATTATCTGTTACTAACTGCAGCTCAGAGTCAGAAAGTAGAGAGAGTTCATTCTTTTCTGACTTGTGATAGCCTGCTGTCCATGTTACTATCTCTTTTTTCTTTATTAAGTATGGTCATGTGTATTGTGAGCAGTGCAGTATATCTGATATTATTAGGCTGGTAGGGGCTGTGCTTACCAGATAACCACAGAGAAGACTTTCACTGAAGAAATGTCAGTGTTAAAAGATAAATTAGGAGTATGTTACTAGGAGAAATTTGGAAGTGAGAACAAGCTTATAGCCTTGGGTCCTACCTTTCTGCCTTAATGAGCTCCTAAGAGTGGATGTGTGCGAGGAGTTTGAAGAACAAAGGAAGGAAATAAATGAAGACAAGTGAAAAAGGTAAGGTGGCGCCCAAAACCTTTTTCAAACAGTTCTAAAGACACATTCCTCACAGCCTGTGCTTTAAACCAAAGCTGCTTTTTTTGCTTTTAAGACAAGCTGCAGCCCATAGCAGAAGAGGGACTAAATCTGGTGCCTGACCCTTTGCTCAGAGATAATTCACCTTGCTGTCCCTGTGCCAGGTACAGCCCTGTGTTCTGCAACAGTTTTGAATTTAATATGTCTAATATTGAAGAATAATATGTCTAATATAAGAATAATGTGTCTAGCACTTTGTGCTAGTTTACAGAACCTGAAAATTTGGGATGGAGGTGGGGGAAATCCATCCTAACGTGGATCCTGCTCTAACGGCAGAGCGGGCAGGATGCAGTTCAGTTTCAGTTAGGATTGTTGGACTAAGAGAAAGAATAACAGCATCACCTATGTAAATCCCTATGAAACAGGGCAGCACAGTAAGAGAATGCAGTTCATAGAGCGCTTCTTKAATAAATGTTTAGCTTATGTAGTAGAAGAAAGATATGAAATCATTTTACCTATGAATAATCATCTGACTTTTTTAGCCTTAGTCTTAGCTTGGCCGGCTGTAAAATAAGAAGASTTTCCCCGTGATGCTCATTCACTATAATAATAAGTTTGGCAAAGAARGAACCTGCATAAAATCATATTCATGCTATTTCCAGGTGGAGATTGTTTCCAGATGGCACAAAGAGCAAAAACAGACTCCCAAGCTCTTTTGYATATATATTCCTAATCATGAACACATTCTTTGATGCTTCTTTTTGGGGGAGAATGTATTTGATTTAAAACGGGTGATTTCTGAATTAGCGTTCACCTGTGAAGCTCCTAAATACATCCGGTGGGCTTRCATGGATTCAAAGTTGAAGGAAGATTTTAAAAATATATATATTTTTTAACTTTCTCTTTTCAACAGCTGTGGAATAATAACTCATAGAACTCACAGATACACATGTGGCCAGGCTGGTGAACTGCATTTAAAACTACTTTTTTGTGTGTAAAATTTTATGATAATCAACATACTGTGCAACGCAGTAATTATCAACTTCCTTTGTTGTGTTTATAAAACAATATACAGATCCATCACAGATTCATAGCAGCTGTTCTCCTCCCTGTTTGGCATCGCTGCAACTGCTTATCCATCCAAGATTTCCTGTAATTACAGAAACTTCCCTCTGTGGAGGAATGATGAGTGAACATTCTTCCTCCTCTCTCTTGCATCAGCATGTCAGCCTTTTAAATTCAGCCTTTAAATCCAAAGGTAACAGCTAAAGCCATAGAGTAGCTCTACTTAATCTAGCTGCTTAAGTTGCTTTGTGTGATCCCCAGGATAACTGTGGCATTCCTGCAGTATCCAGCTTTAGCAATGGATGAATTCCCATGCTTGGTAAGCATCGGTTTTGCTGTTAACAACCCACTCTTGCTCCAGAGGGGATGCAAGCACAAGGTCCCAGATGTTGATGAAATGCTGTCATTTTGGTCCCTAGTTTATTAGCATCACTACCCATCAGCTAATTTGCATGTATTTGAAGCCTATCATTATCGAGGGAAAATAATTGCTATGTTAAATTTATAAACAAAGCGCTAGTGTATGGAGATAGAATTAGATTGTAGAAAGGCTGTGATTTAAAGATTTTGTGTCTCTGCTTGTAAGCRACCTATAGTTTCATAAAGATTAGCTGTAGTTTTGTTAAAAATTAGATGAAGTGAGGGAGGAAAATTCTGAGTTTTACTGTTATAAAATTCAGGCCTTAAGTGAGGTTTGTTTTTTTTTTTTCTCAGGTCCCTAAGGCAAAATTGTGGGACTGTTTTTCTTGTGAAATATCCATGTTTTTCTTCAGGACAGTTTTCTTGACACATTTCAAATCAGTAATTTTTTTTGTATGTCTATCACTYGGATCATCTGTTTATGGTACTCTTGTCACTGCTTTTTGATGTAAATTCTTGCGTAGCTTAAATTTAGAACAGTTCTTTGAAGAAATCTTACTAACAGCAAATAGAGGCCTCTAGGTATGTTCGGATGCTTTTTTGTTCCAACTCAAAATTTCAATCATTACCTCTATCTTTCATGACCTTTGGAGCATGACTTTATGGGCTACACTCTAGCTATACAGGTTAGCAGTAATGAGCAATTTTAGCTTGCTGAGGATGTCAAAATACTTAAGATTCAACAGTGATGGAAAAGAAAATCTGTAACAGTGCTATGTGGCAGCTAAAATAGGTACCAGGACAGGTTTCTATTAAACTGCTTATATATTTGACATCAACTGAAGGCACATCAGAACCTGGTTACATTTCTATGATTTTAACAATATTTTCATACAAAATTGCACTTACTTGAGAATTCACTCCAATCTTGATAGTTTTATGTTGTTACAAGGAATATTTTTCACATGCATTTATTTGCTTRTTTTATTGTGTTGGACCTATGAGGAGCATCATTAAAATTTTCCTTCAGGATGTATTTCCTCTTGTGAAAGCTTGCTACAATYGTACACTTATACATCTGCTTAGTAAGTATAGTAAGTGTATTTACTGTACTTATTACAGGAATAGTATATGCAARTAGTATATACATGAGTCTGGTTTCATGACTGGGCTTTGCATATTGTAAGGAATTTTTAGTAAGCACTCTTATTTGGACCAGCTGAATTTGTGTTGCTCCTTCATATCATAACTCAGTGCTCATATTTATCAGCTAATAAAACACACAACCGCTTTGGTGTTGAATTACCATCTTAAACCTGGTGCTTTGAGCAGCTTTAACTGGGTGCTGCTAAAGTACTGCAAGACAAAACCTGCTTAATTGCAGCCCAACTCTGTTCATCCCTATGCACTTTCTTTATGAGAGGTTTCAGCGACTCTAAACAGGTGAGATGACTTCAGATCTGTAGGTGGAAGAAGCACTGCAGCAAACTTGGTGGCAGGAAAGATGGGTGCTAGTGGCTGCAGCATCAATAAACTCAGACCATCCATATTAATGAGCAAAACTGTGGATCGAGCCCTGTCTGTGCACACGGATTTGGGATGCTGCGGCTGCCGAGCGCTCTGAAAGCGCCGTYGCTCAAGCTGCCAGTCAGGGTGGTGTTTGACAGCTAAGTCGGGCACTGCCTGTAACAATCCTCTCTGGGAAAGCCTGCCTGGAATTTGGACTATTTGGTGGTTGCTTTCCTGCTGTAGCAGTAAGGAAATGGTCCTCGTTGCTGATTCTAGTGGGGGGTGTACACGGAGCCACAGCAGCTGTGGAGCAACAGCGTTTTTGTGTTCAGATTGTAGCACTTTGCTAATCCAGTGAATAATCGTGGAATTGAGAGGGGAAGGGAAAATTTCTTGCCTTCTTTCACGGACTAAATAGAATGGGGAGTTTGTCAGGTTGTCTATTCTTTGCCACCAAACCTTGCTTTTCTATTCTCTGTGAGTCTATGACCTTCCCTAAGACAGGTTTGTCCTGCAGATCTTCCATCGGTGTCTCCTAAGGAAATCCATCGAGTTCAAGTATCGCATCGCTAGATCTCCCTTATGCTATGGAAGGGTGTGGGCTTAATCATTTCAACTTTGCTTCAAATCCTGGAAGATGAAAAATCTGACAATACGGACGCTTAATAAAAGACTTTCTGCTGTGTCATGGACACATCTCCTATTAGCAGTGATCTGATAACACTGTGAATACGAACAACAGCCCTTTCCATACACTTTAGCCCAGCAGTCCTTTTATGTTTGCAACTTAAGTAGATATTTTCAGGAACTTAGTTTTTAGAACTAAGAAATTTAGGATATATATATTAAAAAAAAAAAAAAAAAAAAAAGGTTGTGATCATGCATTTTTGCCTTTTCTCTCAGTGCTGTTTTAGTGGGATGTCTCATGACAGACGTTGGTCGCATTTATTGAAATATAAAACACAGAGAAACCTTATTAATGGCCTATGTACCGTGGTGTGACGGCGGAATTGAGCCAGATGGCTTCATGCTGCTGCTGTGCTGCTTTCCATCATGGCCAGCAGATGGGGAGAGAGAAAAGGAAAGCTGCAAGTCTGAGCTGCTGAGGAGAAAGCTGGAGCGGCACCATGTTCTGGAGGGCCTCGGCTGCTCCCAGCGAAAGTAGACTCCTGGCTGCACTGCGTTTTGTTAGGTATTTCAGACAATTCCTTTGTGTGTCAGCCTCTCAGGGTACTAATGTTTGTTAGTTGTTGTTGTTCTTTTGTTTTTGTTTTTTGGTTTTTTTTCTCCTGAAAAAACTAAGAAGTCTGTACTTAATTTTCTACAGGATCTCACTTTTCTRTAAACTTAACTACTTACGTAACACTTTTCTATAAACTACTTATGTAAAATAAGTACATTGCGCCTAAGTGGTGTTATTTTGATAATTGGCCTGATTAGGTGGAAGAGGCTAGATTACTTGGTCATTTCTTGACAATCTGAAATGCAAATTTTTATTAAGAAACTCTTTGTTCAAGTCATTTTTTTTCCCCTAACCTAACCTTCCCTAAATAGGTTAA